ACACTTGTTTGAGAAATCTCCGATTGCTAACTTTTGAAATTGTGCTATTTACGATATTCAGGTTATAAAAATAAAGCTTAATGTATTTAATCTACGTATTTATTACATGGTGCTCAGTATGACTGTATTTATGATTTCGGTGAGACCATGATTTATGGACGATCTTTGAGCGACGCTAAAGTGACCTTGAGGATGTCCACCTACTTACTGGGGCTAAATGAGGTTTATAAAGCAGTGTGAATCATAAGAGTTATGACTTCCAGTTGATGGTAGGTGTTAGGATTTAAATTTATGGTTTTCATCACGAACTGACATAAGTTAAAACGTCAAAACGCTATTTAGACGAATAAGTGAATGGATTTTGCGTCAAGGTCCAAGACCTGTTATCTTAAATCTGATTGGTTCGTCTATAAATTATAATCTCGCCATAAATTCTTCAAACACAATAAACCACAATATTGAATTACGTCGTTTAGTGGTTTCAGTAGTAGTAGAAGCCATATAAATAATCATTTTACCGAATTTGAGTGTTAGATGGAGTAACATTAACTGCACTTCCTTGATTCATCGGTGTAAAAATGGTTTATACGAGAGATAAGATTGATTAGAAAGGTTGATTGTCATTCTTAATAAAGCATTTGTTATTCAATAAAAAATTTATAGTCGTACTACATTAGTTCCTTAATGGACATCGACATATTCTGTAAGTTGATTATTAATGCTAACATTTGAAACGGCTACAGTAGTAGTTTGTAGTTGAATTAATCACACGTTCGATCTTTTCAGTAATTCTAAAATTTAGTTCATCCACCATAACATAATTGTCTCAGAGATGGTAGACGTTATTGAAACTCTAACTTTACAATCCTTAATACATTGATAATAAAGTATTTGGTCATCATTTCAAATGACATTAATTTATTCAGGTTTGACTAAATGGATAGTTAGTATTTATTAATATTTGATATTTATAAAACGGTAGTCGTGATTGTATAGTAAACTGCCCTAAATTCTGTTGTCTGTAGTTGATCTGGATGACTCACAGTATAAAGGATCCGTTATATTGTTACTTTATATAGATTGTTCGGGACTTGGTAAAAAACCGAGAAGGTTAAATCTGTTTTAATAGGTTATTCTCTATCTACCAATTGGAAAATGATGGTAATGCTAATATATTAATTGACTCCTATTCCCAGACATGTTTGTGCATGTTCATGAGCACTCAAGTACAGGACCATCTAAGTAATATCTTTATAATTGTCTCTATAGGAGCTGTTAAACTGTTAAACGTACATAAAGGTGCTCAATAATATTATTGTCCTATCCTTAATTCTTTGTGCAAGTACTGGTTTAGTTGGGAAGGTCATATGCAGTATGACCGGGTTAAATGATTTGCGTCAAGTCGCCAAGAGTTTGTCTAATGGAGCAATATTTAGGTCCCTCTGTACAGTAGGAGGCATCGGGATCGACTCCAATATATCGAACTTACTCATCCTGAGGAGTATATTCAACCGTTATGTTAAGCATCGCCTACGACCGAAGCACCACATAATCCAACTGTCATCGTTGGAATTGATCTTTTTAAATACGTGTTTAGTGTTACCATTAAAGTCGATAAACCAAGTATCATTACAACTCAATGCAGTTATGTTTATAGGAATCGATTATTCTTCATACTGATTATCAGTTAGATTTATATCGGTAGGGTAATATTTTCAACATTTTCATTGCTATAAAAACTCAAACCATGACTATTGATTTAATTCATTAATCTTGTTCATTTGTTAATTAACAATTGAATAAAAGACTTTAGAATCTATCATTGTTATTGCTTTATTAATCAGATTGTTCTCTAAACAATCAAGCAGACATTATAAATTTTTATATGATTCATTATTAGTTTATACTCATTGGAAAGTTCATTGTCTACTAGGTGATAAAACGAACTTTCTTACAAGTTGTTCCAATGTACAACCACTGATATGTACAAAATTTACATAAATTTATACATTATTTTAGTAATCAGTCTAACATTATACTTACTATCATTATTATTATTATTATTACTATATGAATAAATAAAACCCATTTGTATACAACGCATTCTTCCTGACAAAAAATTATAAACAAACAAACAAGGATGTATTATCTAAAGTAATTGTACTAAACCTATCTGTTATACTGGTCAATTATGATTGTAGTAGCCTTATCCATGCATGACCTTGACCACAAATTAATTCCACTGGATATTGATCAGTCGTGTATTATATATATATATATATATATATATATATATATATATATATATATATATATATATGGAATTGCATGTTTTTAAATCAACTGGTATGCACACATATGTGTATGATGGTTGGCTTAAACTGTGATGAGATCGTCATAAATGAAACTTGATTTATGTAGAATATAAATTCTTCTTTTATGTTCAAAAGAAAAGTCGAAAAATTCCATTATCATCATCAATAGTAAAATTAATTGTTGGGTCTTTTATTATTATACCGAGAACCTATTAAAATTAAGATTAATAATTTATAAAATAAAATGATAATTTTAGCAACAATGAATTCATAAAACATTTTAGTTACGATTATAATTTGTAAAATGAGAATTGTGATTTTGTGTGTGTGTGTGTGGGGGGGTAATTTATGTATTAGTTACCATGTGTGCAATCTCAGAAGTTACATGTTCATTTCATATGTATTATGAGAGATAAGTGTATAGACTGAAATAAATTAATTTATTGTTAGTGTTATTATCAACATCTACAAAGATGTATTATAAGTCATCTAGCTATATATTTATATGTATTAGTTACGGTGGTACTCAGGCAAATAATATGTTTTACGTAAATATATTTTTCGTGTCAATACGATTCTAGTTTTACTATAAAACCTTGTACGCGTACTTTTACATCAGTTTTTTTTTACTAAACCATAAAAAAGTGAAAATATTGTTTATATTTTAATAAAAATATGAAGATAAAGAATGTAATACTATTCATCATGAATAAGAATGGAAAGACGAAAAATGAAGATGAACTAGACAGACAATCAGAGTTACCGCTAATAAACAAGCGAATAGTGGATGACGCCTTCTTTATACACACAAGTGAATGAAGAAGAACATATTCATGATAACTCACTACATACTTCAAGAGTATTTGAAAACACTTCTCAGTACATTGAACGTATGATAATAATTTTCAGTTTTGTGTTATTTGGTATCGATCGCCATGAGATGTTGATAATCCAGAGGAAAATGATGTTTTGTGATGGATTTAAATCAGTATTAACCAGTATCATACTCAAAGACTCTAGGACTAAGTAGTTCTCGAGATAAGACTGTAATCGAATTGAACTCATATGTTCACTAGTTGATAACCTAGTTGTTGTCATTGTTTCATATCCTTTGTGATATTTTTCGTCATACAATATGGATAATGTGACAAGTAATAATTTTAGAACTATGTAGTAGTGTTCTTACTTCTGAAAATCTATTTATACAATAAAACTTGCTTCATCAGTTTAAAAATTTTTCATACGACCTAACAATTATAGTGTGGAACTATGTGAGTTATATAGTCCTAGTTATTAATTAATTTTTATTTTTTTACAAGCTAAACGGAACGAAATCATGTGGTTCACCTGTGATTAGCTTGTAATCAGTGGGAACAAAAGGAACTCAAGTTCAAGATTGTAATTAGAATAAAAAGACAAATTCCTCTTTTCATCTCCCAGAATTGAGTAATTTAGAGTAAGATATTCCGTATTTACTAGATTTATTATACTTGTCAAGTATGATTTATAAGGAATTGTTAAGATTGGTTTTTAAAATGGCATAAATTATAGTACATATTTCTTGTAAGTTAATCATTTATACGAGACTGAAGTAAAATATTTTCTTCGCAGTCTTACCCAGTTGCTGATCTACTAGAACATTGGATTAGAAATCTGCAGAGAGGGTAGCTTATTTTCCCCACTCATTCTTAGATTTTTCTTTATCTACAATCTTCATAGTCATCAGTAAAACTTTGTGTAATAACAAAGTCTCCTATCACTCATTGTTACCTCACGTACATCCTAAGCCATTAATTCTTTATCCACAAGATAATTAACATTTCTAACAATCGGAGTTAAACAAAGAATTTGTAACTTACACTTCTCAATACATTTAAACATATGTTCAGTAATATATGTAAATCTATCAATTAATAAAAAGAAATCCATTCTTATTGTACGGGTTTTATAATGACTGTTGAGTGTTCTTAGTTTATATCATTAACTGACTTTAATTAGACAACCACTGGAAACTGGGAAGCACTGAACAGCTCTTTCTTCCTAGTATGGGACTCCTCAGCAGTATACATCTACGACCTTACTGCATATAGAATTCAGGACTTTCAGATTTCATGGAAAGCATCTAACCTTTAGACCACTGAGGCAGCATCTAACGGTTAACATGTCTAACTTCAATCAGTTCACAATTCGTTTCGATTTGTGGATGACTGTTTCACACTCAAAATCGTTGAACATCAGTACTTCTCTATAAAATTTTGGGAATTACATATACTAAGGCTAAACAACTATCCAATACTTCTTAGTTTTCCATAATTGTCTGATTGAGGTCAGTTCATGGTGTATACTATAAAACTTATTCTCTTTTTGTCACAGTCATCCTAATTTTCAACAAACTAGCTTGTTATAATTCAGTCGTTTAATGTTCATGTGCTATAAACAGAACGTTATACTTTTTATTTTATAAAAACATTTGTGAACTTTATAATAAGCTTAATTTTATTTTAAATATTTTTCTTTACCATGAACAAAAAGTGTTCACGTCCGTGGATATTTAATAATAGAAAAGATTATCTCAAACTTTAATAAAAATCGTAATCATTGTAATGGAATATAATAGTTTTACATATAAATCACAAGCTAACAGGATAATAGAAATACATCATAATCATGTCAAAAATTACTGATCGGCTATTTGAGACCTTTTAATCTAAAATAGTGTATTAATGTATTGTTCTCTCATAACACATATTCATTAATAATGTAAAGTAGATCTGAATTATTTTACAAAATATTTGCGTACTTCAAAGTTATGATCAATTATTTACTAAACAGAATTTCTAAGTTGATTTTCATTATTAACATTACTGATAATTAAAAAAATCTAGCAGTAATAGACAAATGACATCAATTTAGATCAAAAGTTGCTTTTAAAATACACGAAATCTCACTAGTGATTAGTAGGTTATTTCTCGAAAAATTATAATGTGAAAAATGAATAGAGCAGTCAGTCATATTGAGATTTGTAGAGTCATGCACCGACTACATTGAACAATTGAGATATAATATAAAAGAGATAACAACATTTGAATTTCAACTCAGTAGTTAACAATTAGTGCGCTCGACACGAGCGTTGTACTTCTTGTATGTGAGAGTAATGTGCAGTTATGATTTTGAAAAGTTAAATAAGCTCTCTAAATCTAGATGAAAGAATATGTCCTCAATTTTATATAGTTTGTTAGGAGATGTCAGTCGGCAGTCAAGTTTATCCTTCAAATGTTTCATCAAAATTAATAAAGTCTGAAACTGGGTTCTTGAAAATCATAACGCTAAACCTATTAGAAGTAGAAACAGATAATATCAACGAGAACTCTACATATATCTCTGTCATGTACAATAAACTTACTCAACTCATTTCAATCAGTTATTTTCTTTTACGTTACCGATAGCTGAGTAAGTTTTTATCAGATTAACATTTTTTGGTTTGAAAATTGACAATACTTGTTCATTATCGATTTACTTATTTATACCGTCACAATTAATAAAGGATCGTACATTTACTTTTTGGTTGATAAAACATGTGAAACTTCTTATTGTGTTAGAAGAAAATAAAATCGACCGTACACAGTAATATACAATTAAATGGTCTAATATGACCAAACAAGGATTTTAAAACGATTTAATATGTATTTTGTTCTGTAAGAAATAATATATTTAAGTTGTTCATAAGTTAGTAAAACACATTTTTTCTATTCTGTTCTATATGAGTTATGATCACTGTATAGTATTGTAGTGGACGAGAATACCAGGTATTAGAGCACAAAATTACAGAATCTTTTAGTAAAATCTGAGAACCATACAGTGATTCTTCATTTGCAAAATATTCATCAATTGTCTCAGATTTTGTTGCTCCTTCGTTCCACACAAATCAGTCTCTGTTCTCGTTCTCTTTCCTTCGATCTTCTTAAGCTTCTGCCGCCGAACATTTCACTTACGACCGATGATTCATTCTACTTATATCTGTCGACATCAGTAGCACCCACCACAGTATGAGCACTTTGAATGTAAGCTATAGTTTAGGAATGTTATTCATTGCTTCTGAATTGATCTAAGTTTACCAAAGAAACAAAAGATTGATTGATATTATATCATGTTTAGTCTGAAATCTTTTTATGGTAAATAATCTTGAATTAAGGGTTTGAATGAATTGTTATCTATTTATTGAAGTACATAAGAAAAAGAAATGGGATGAAATTTCTCATCCATTGTTCGTAAAATTCAGTGTACATGTGACAAATTGTGACTACCCCATAATTAAACTATTTCAGTTTTTTGGTTAGTTGACTACATTACTCATAAGGTTCAGAAAGGTATTTCAAGAACCAGTCTTCCTGAAGTGAGTAACTAACAAATTAATAGGTTGCAATTAAAATTATTGATTATATATTTTATTCATACTGATAATATAACTGACGGGGAACCTGAAGGTAATATAATCAAATTCTAACTTACAAAGATTTAAAGTGTAAAGTTCTATGGTATTTCAAATAAAGAATAAACACTATAAACAAGTGTACTCTCTTTCAAGTAGTTCTTTGGTTAGGAATAAAAAATATAAATTAATTTATACTTATCCTTCTAAAAAGTGTCTTAAAAATACAAATGTTGAAAATCTGTGTAGGAATCCATACCTATGTGAACTATTATGATTTATTCGACATCATTGAATTAAGAAGCTAAAAATAATGTATCAATGGTACTATGATATAAAAGTTTCTAGATTTTGTTTATTCGGAATGAAATGTTAACTTTTTAAGTTTCATAAGAAAACCGCTTATACAATAGCTTTGGTTATACTTTCAGTGATTGAATTAAAGTATACTCATCATTAACTTTGACATTTTTTCAAAGCTTAATTGATCAGACATTAGATTAGAAGATTTAAAGTGATTCACTCGACGACAATAGAAAAATTGAATTTCTGTGTAGTGTATTATTTTATTACTGCATTTTTTTAACAAAAATATATCTCCAGTACATCTAGACATTTTCCTAGTTTCGGTCAATTTAACAAGTTACATAAATCATAAAATTTCAACACGTTTATTTTATTGATCCAAAAACTAGTAACCATTCATGTGTTGTATTTAAGTGTTTTGAACTATTTTTATTCTGATAACTTTATTCTATCCGGAATTGAAGTGAAATACACACGTTTTGATAAGATAATCGTACAACAAAAATTATAATTCAATATTATTATTATTATTATTATTAGTGGCGTTCTTCAATATTATATTGGTCTACATGTTTAGTTGGACGCTTGGAAACTGATGGAGGATTTCTGGAAGACGTGGAAAGATTCACGTATCTGGGTATCATCATCGATGAACGTGGAGGATCTGATGCAGACATAGAGGCAAGGATTGTCAAAACAAGGACAGAATTCTCACAATTCAAAAGCATGTGGAACTCAGAGCAACTGTCAACCGATATCAAAGTCACAATCTTCAATACGAATATCAAGACAGTTATACTGTACGGTGCTGGAACTTGGATAACTATTACAAGCATCATCAAAAATGTACAAATATTTATAAACAATTATCTACGCAAGGTACTCAGTCTCTGCTGCTTAGATAATATCAACAACAGCCAGGTTGCAGATGAGGGGGAAATTAGGAAGAGACGCTGGAGGTCGATAGAATGTGCATTATGCAAATCGACAAACTGTATCGTGCGGCAAGTGCTAACTTGATATCCTGGATAGGAAATGAAAAGAGGGAGACCAAGGAACATGCTGCGTCGTGAATTGTAAGCAGACACGAAAATGATGAATAAGCACTGTAAACAACCGGAAAGGATTGTCCAGGATGGAGTTGGATGGAGAATGCTGGTGGGTGGCCTATGATCCATCAAGATGAGTAATTGGTGTAGGGAAGTCTTGTTAATAAAAGATTTGGTAGAACTTAACACTTGATTATTCTAGTGATAAAATATGCTGACCTTGAATGCTCATTACTATTTCTTAAGTGATACAAGGAAATTAACGGTGTTATAAATGCAAATTGAGAGAAGAGATGTTTCATTTTAATTAATTCCTTGTCAAAACTATATACTGATTTATAGGATTTTAAATCAAGACTAAAAGCAATGCCAAACAAATGATTTTGAATTTATGTAACGGCGTATCTCAATATTTTTTTTACAAAGGTCCAGACGTACGGTTGTGTAGTCAATCTCCTAATTCAGCCGGTTATAGGAATGCATAACAATAAACCTAGTAATTATGTGCAGAAAAATTTCGTATAATCTCTGGTCTTCTACCTCATTACTCCTACGTTCCTGAAAATATTTTTCCCCTCTTTTTAACTTCGTTTTCGTAATTTTATTCTCATGAAATATCCTAATAATCTAACCATGCAATTTCCTTTGCATCCGTTTCATGATTCTAATATTATTATTAATATTATCCTTAGAGATGATATTGAATTAACCTACCGGCATTGGATAATGACTTTATGCTTAACTTGTGAATACATATTATTGTAGAGCCTTGAGGAAGAACGGAAAAGTGTTTATTGTACACTCACTTTTCGGTTAAAATAGACTAACCCACTATTCTGATAGACGTGAAAATAAATCATTTTGATCGGATTATGTCATTACTTTATTGGATTTACTATACTGATATAAGTCAATGATGAACTAATGTAGATAACTTCGGTAAAACCTTGTTAGGAAATTGCGTACATATATGTATGAGTATTGTACTATAAAATGTCATTCTACTCTTCAGAACACATATTGGTGTTAATATTCATTTTATTGAAAAATTTAGACAAGTTATATTTTTAGTCCCCTGTATGAGCATGGTCGAAATATTATAGGAACTAAGTGGATTTAAATTAGTGTACTGTCATTATTGGAGTATATTAATGAATCAAAGTAAGAGCTTTTAAATTTCTATACGGGAACATAATCCAGAGGTCATTGATAGTCTGTTGTACTGAAGATAAATTTACTTCTGTTTTACACTACTTAAACTCTATGTAGTAGTTAAACGCAAATCAAATATTTCCAAAAGAGAATATAGTCGATTATATTGAATTTTAGCGGTATCCCGTTCGACGATGTTTTATTTAGAAATAACCACCCCAACGTTCAGGAAAAAAACTATTCAAAGTAACAATTATTCAGGCGGTCTTTTTCAATTATTTTGTGTTGGGTAAAAGTCCCAAGCTAGATTTCCATATAACCCTGTTTTTTTGTATTTTTCGTTTTAGATTTTAAATCATTCGACATATTGTTATATATATGTAGGGAAGAAAACGAATTATCGTTCGTATCGACTAGTTACATAATATATAAATTATTGAAGGATTTGTGCTTTAGTTCTTAGCTCAAATCATAGTCAAATACTGGGGTGTAAATGAAGTAATGAAACGTCTAGAAGTTGGTTATCTATCTTTAGATTGCTCATAAATATTTATATGACGTCACGTTTACTAGCCTTTCATTTAGTTATTCGATAGATGCTGTGATCAAAAATGTTCTTGCTCGATATTATTATTATTGGTAGATGTTTTCTAAAAATTACTTTGATTCCTAAGGAACATAGTGTATCATATACCCATACGATATTTGAACTTTAGTTATTAAGTCAATAGACGTATTTTTGGAGCATCTGAAATCTAGGATATATTAAATTAGAACAGTTACTATTAAGTTTATGGAAAATGTCCCGTAAGAAGTTAGTTTTAAGCAAGCACTGATACGATACTAAACCAAATGAACATAATACTTACAAATCAGAGTCCGAATTAAAACAACTGCATTTCTAAATTCAGTGTCTGTGATGTTTACGGTAATCACTCAATGAGATCAGTAATATTTCTGATTTTTTTAATATGGCTTTACAAGTGATATTAGTTCGTGATGAAAATTAATTTGTAATAAAACTAGTAGCTATAGTGAACGAGTCCTGTTTAACGAGTTTATTTTAAAGATTGTCAGATCAGTTTACATATTCATATACCGATGCTTGGTTTCTATATTATTAAATAGGTGTATATTTACTGACTAAGTTAGTTTTATTGATGTCAGTTATCCTTTAACAAAGAATAGACTTTCATGGTCCATTTTAACTAAAGACAAGGTAATGTGATAAGTAATTTGATGCAGATGCATTTCAACTTCAGTGACTATAGTAATAGGCAATTTCCTGATAAACATAGTTTGGAATGTAATGCCGTAAAATTATTAGGAAAATATCAGTGATGGTTTTGCTACTAGCCGTAACCAATTTTCATTAACAATCCCTTTAACATATGTAGTCACTCTATGTTGGTATACATTTTCTCATTAAATTTCACATGCTGTTACTGTAGAGGCTATTGATAAGAAATGTTATACTCTTGATTTCGAAATACTTCATTAACAATGATTGTTTCCGCTGATTTGCAATAAGATATCATCAATGTTGTGTTTATGCATGTTACATAACAACACAGTTTCTATTTATAACTTTTAAAATCCCATTCAGTACTAGGAAAAATGTAAGAGGAGTTCTTGACATATTTTTTCAAAATTTTTGGATGCGAATGACGCACTGGGATAAACGGTAATTTGTTGACCTATTCACATGTATCAATGTCACATTGTCCAAAATTAAATGTATGTAGATCTTTGATACTATTGGGTGGTAACTTATCAAGAACATGAATATCTTCAGACAAACTCAAGTTTGATTAATGGTTAGAGCACTTGACTTTCAACCACTAAGCATCATATTCGAATCTTACCACGTTCACTTTGGATCGAGGACCTTCGTATCATTAGATCTCCCGTACGAAATTTGTGGGTGAATAGGTGACACTGAGCAGCTTCTCTTTAGTGGTGGAAACCAAGAAACTGTCTTAAGTTCCGAAAATAATGAATTGGAATAGTCGTTTTACAGGACGGAAATGTCCACTTTACAGTGGTCGATAAATCACGTATGTTGCACGATTCAAGGGTTATTAGTACCAGTATGGCGAGGTTTCTCATATTTATACGATTTGATACTCAGACAGTTGGAATCAGTCGATAAGAAGCTATCAAGATAAAGAAATATTTCTGATTTTTGATAATGAATTTACTTGAACATTAAGATTTACACAATGAGATTAATCAACTAAACAACCGATTTTGACTATTGACAGTTGTTCAATCAATTTTTAATGATAAACCACCTACACAATTATAACAACTAACACAATCTATATCAAGTCGTACTGTTTTTAAATTAGTGCTCAACTTATCTAACTGTATATGACGCTAGATTACCAAGTTATATATTAAACTTAATTGGATAAAGACAAACGATAAAACGCGAGTGCTAAACTGAGGCCGTTAAGAACAGATCTGAGCATGTGAATGTCAAAGTTGGGTCACAATCAGTCAGAATAGTTCACTAACAAATAGGGTCCGGTTTTCTCAATTTGATTGATATCTGGTGCAATTTAAATTAAGTGATTTCCAAGATGACTAATAACAACTATCCTACAATCAATTTCGATTATGGTTGATTTTAGTTAAGCCCTTTTTATTACCTTACTTAACAGACAATATTGTTCGAACAGTAACAACTCGCATATTTCTTTGTACTATTATGGTCACTATCATATCTTATAAACGTGTACGATTGATCACATAACAGACTCTAGCTAAAATGTTGATAGTTTAAGTATCGCTCGACGATTCATTCTCTTCCCATGTATATATGTACGCGAATCCTATCGTTAGCCTTTGCTTTGCCTTGCTGTGCCCTTATGCGATTTGACCATAAATTTGCCTCTGTACTTGCTCACATGCACATATTCGTCTCTGCTTCGAATTCGCTTGATGTGTTTGTAGTTTTGTGATCTGTGCTACCCACTAATAAACCGTAGTCACCACCTTTATCGCGTCCTGATCTCAGACACCGATGGGATTTATACAATAACGGTCACAAAGGTGATTGATTACCGAAGTAAAGCCACTACATGTTCATATAAATTAATCAGCTACCACTCTTAGCTTTACGCTTGATATAATCACTGCAGTAGTAGACGTTCCGCCTGTTTCGTTTTAAGCATTTTGGATGTAAATAGGAAAAGAGAAAAATCCAGTACACAGGTCTACCTTTAATATTTTCATTTTGCAAGGACTATTGTTTCCCTCATAATGATTAAGTGAGCCATGTTTACATTTGTAGTATGAAAATATCTTTAATTTTTTTCTAGATCTATTAAGGACAAAATGTAAACACAAAAATGATAGTAGCATATATGTATTTTTATTTACAGAGATAAAACTGTAGAACTGCATCACTACAAAGTTTGGAGCAATAAATCCATGGTAAACAGAGGATAAATTCATAGCTGCACTTTACATATCAGTTAAATTATATAATTGGTATACTTTGTCATAATCATAAGTCATTTTATTAAAATCAGCATAATTACGCAACTGTTCGAGAATACGTCGATGATGTTTCTCTATACTGTCAAGTGTTTCTTTATGACTTTTGTGTGGAAAATAATCAATGTCTAGTTCGAAATCCGGACCATAACGAGAAAAGTAGGAGTGTTCTGGAATTTCAGGAGAAGTGTCATCCTGAAGTAGTAAACAGACGTGGAAAAAAAGTATTTGTAAAATTAAGGTATAGTAATAATCAACAAGTGTTAGTCACACCGTTCACGATGGTCTTGGTTTTACTTAAATCCGAAAATGAAATATAACTAAAGATTAACATAAAGTTGATAAATTGGAATAAGACCACAACCTCAGTATAGGAGGTATTTTGAATGAAAAGAAATTCCGACCGTTGTTGCTACCTTGACGTGGTGGTCGGGCTTGCCTATCGTGACGAAGCAATCGAGCTATACTGGCTGGAACAACCGTTTCTCAAGGTCATACCATGTCAGACAGGTCGGTTGAAGAGCGGTAAGACTAAAAGCAACAAACCCACGGTCCGGAGGCGAAGTCGTACTGCTGACTGTACAGAGGTGTGACAGCAGTAAGGTGTTTCCTTCAGACAACCAGCATGACAGCGATGCTGCCTTCCCACAAGGAGCGGTGTTGTTAGAAAAGGTCGACCCTAAAAATGCACACCTCGCCTTATCCCAAGGATATCCGTCTCCGGCGGTAAGGTCTCAACAAGTACGGCGCTAACACAAAAATTAACCATGAAAAGGTCGTGTTTGACCGACCTCAAGCAGTTGTCCCTTGGGTACTGCTCTCAGGTCACTAAGATCACCTCTAATCCAATTTCCTTTTCAGGTACCTCTAGAAGAACCCTTCTACGGTGTAGGCAACCGGGAAGTGATAACCACCCTCACACCTCTAACAGCATTCAAGACCATTGTATTCATAATCAACTTCCGTCTTCACTTATTATTATTGTTCCTACATCGACTTTCACATCTAAACTTCCTTTTTCGGCTTCTCCCTCAAGTGTCACCATAGCTAACGATTCTAGTGCTCAAAACACTGTCCCAGGTCTACTGAAACCTCACCACAAACTACACATTGGAGCCTTCAACGTACACACACTATGTCAAATCGGTCAACAAGCTTCCTTGGCTAGAACACTAGAATCTCACAATTGATTGATCACTGGGTGGTGATCAATCTCATGCTTGTCTAGTCCTTATTAGTGCAGATCGAATGCTATCGATCATGTTGCAATGTGGCCACCAGTCTAGGTGACTCGACACTGCGGGCACTATGTATTGAGATTAGATGGTGGTTGGAGGTAGTCAACAGGAAACCCTGGACCCGGGTTTCGTGCTACTTGGCACTCGTCAGCAAGGTGTACCTGTAATCTTGAGGGAAGTGGTGCTCCCTGGCGGATTCGATCTCGTGTCACCCAGCTTCACAGTCACAGACGTTACCACTGAGCTATCCGAGCCAGGGTTTCCTGTTGACTACCTCCAACCACCATCTAATCTCAATACATAGTGCCCGCAGTGTTGAGTCACCTAGACTGGTGGCCACATTGCAACATGATCGATAGCATTCGATCTGCACTAATAAGGACTAGACAAGCATGAGATTGATCACCACCCAGTGATCAATCAATTGTGATTACATCTCAGTCCTACAGGAGGTTAGTCACGGCTCGGATAGCTCAGTAGTAACGTCTGTGACTGTGAAGCTGGGTGACACGAGATCGAATCCGCCAGGGAGCACCACTTCCCTCAAGATTACAGGTACACCTTGCTGACGAGTGCCAAGTAGCACGAAACCCGGGTCCAGGGTTTCCTGTTGACTACCTCCAACCACCATCTAATCACACTAGAATCTCGTACCACTGATGTATGCTGTGTCTCTGAAACACGCATACAGGACCCCAGTGTGGTCATTCACTTGAACTCACCTCGGCAAAACGGAGGGCTAACGAGATACACCCTCCATGTATCTGGTGACCAGACGGCCAGCTCTCGTGGACTGGCAGGAGTAGGGATAGCACTAAGCATGAGGGCGGAACAAGCACTGTTAGAGTGGATCCACGTTAACAGTCGTTTATGTGCTGTTCGGCTAAACGGCCCCGTAAGAACTCGGAAGGATAGGGACACACGTCGTTGCCTTTTTGTCGTTTCTGCCTACGCTCCCACCGACTGCAGCTTAGATGAAATGAAAGATGAATTTTACAGAAAGCTAAACGTTCAGACATAGTACTCGCAGCAGGTGACTTTAATGCCCAGATAGGTAGTTTAAACCAAACAGAAAGGCATTTAGGTGGGTATTTTAGTATTCCGGCACAACGAACAGATAATGGTGATCGTCTGCTGCAACTGTGCTCAGACAATCGTTTATTTTTAGCAAACACAAACTTTAAGCATAAGGAGAGACATCGTCTAACATGGCGACCCCCTACACCAGACCAACGATGGACTCAAATAGACCATATTGCCATCAGTCATCGTTGGAGAGGGTCGGAAGAAGATTGTCGCTCATTCTGGAGTACCTGCTTGGACTCCGACCACACCCTAATACGGGCACGCATCTGCTTGCGCCTCACTGGACGCAAAAAAGCCACATTAAAAAAAACCATTAGAATTGAATTGAGTAGCGAGAAAACTAAAAGTAGGTTCCAGGAACAACTGTCACAGTTAGGTAGTTCTGAAAACGAGGTTGACCCAGATGTTGCTTGGAAAGCTATGCAAACAGCAGTGACATCTATCAGTGATTTCAACCACAGGGTTACAAAGAACCAATGGATTTACTTAAGGTCTATTGCACTGATGGATTCTCGTAAACTCATCCCATCAGGCTCTGAACACGATGAAGAGCGACAACAAATCAGATCTAGGTTAATCAAAAGTCTAAGGAACGACCGTGAGCAGTGGTGGGCAACGAAAGCAAAAGAGATGGAAAAGGTGACGGCTATAGGGAACACAAGACAGCTCTACAGACTAATAAAAGGAACTGCGAATAATAAGTCAGGTGTAAGTCAGACTATTTCGGAAAAAGACGACACCCTCATCTACTCTCCGTCCAGACGTTTAGAACGATGGGCGGAATATTTCAGAGAACAGTTCAGCTGGCCTTCAGCTACTCTACAACTACCCTCCATTCCCAGACAGTGTGAATGGAACATTGAAGTAGGTCCCCCAACTCTAGCAGAAGTCCAAAAGGCTATAGTTAATCTGAAACGAGGTAGGGCAGCTGGTCCAGATGGATTGGCTCCAGAAGTCTTTAAGGATGGTGGTCCAATTTTAGTGATTAGGTTGACTAATATTTTAGCTAAGATCTGGGAGTTAGATGTTATTCCATCTGACTGGTCACAATCACTTATCGTCCTAATATATAAGAGAGGGTTAAAATCATCCTGTGACAACTATAGAGGGATTAGTTTAACTAACATAGTATCTAAAATACTAGCCTCGATAATTATCAGACGCCTAACTAAGACTCGTGAACTGCAAACACGAGAGAATCAAGCTGGCTTCAGACCTGGTCGTGGCTGCATCGACCACATATTCACCATTCGTCAGGTTCTAGAACATAGGCATACTTATTGGCGTCCGACAATGGTGGTAGCAGCATTTGACTCGGTAGACCGCGA